TTTCTATGAATTCAAAGCAAGATATTTCAAAGTGAATTTCACTCAGATTGTCCATCTTAGGTCTGAATTACATAAATGGAAGACTCCGAGGAATGTAAGTTTATTTTCATTTCAAATGGTTTTGTACAGATTTTTTCAGTGGTGTCTTGATAATTATTATATATATTATAGGTACCCATGGAGACATTTAATGTACCAATTGTGCCATCAAGTCAGGTTGACCCTTAGCAATCACAAAGATAGATTTTCTCCAGAATGATCTGTCCTCAACCTGATCCTTCATGTCTTCCAATGGTGTATCCATCACTACTGTAGTCACATCCATCTACCTTGCTGGTTATCCTCTTCTTCTCTTTCCTTCCACCTTTCCCAGTATTAGCATCTTGTCCAGAAAATTAGGGTTCACATAAGGCATCTGAAGTATGATAATTTGAGCCTGGTCATTTGTGCCTCAAGTGAGAACTCTGGGTTGATTTGTTTGATGATTCATCTGTTTGTTTTCTTAGCTAAATTACTCATGTGGATGTTATTTAAGAAGAAAAACAATGTGCTTGTTATTTAATAAAAATGGCATTGATTCCATCTTTACTCCCTCCACCCACTTGTATAAATCCACCCCTCCCCCAAAGCAGAGTGCACCACTGCACTTTTATCAGAAAGACTGGAAATTAACATTTGGAAGGCCTTTTCTGTAATGAAGCAGCTTTCAATATTTCCAAAGACTTCCTGTTTCCAACTGTGCTCTTACATTGTGTGCAAAATGATAATTTCCTTTATTTATCAATCAGAAAGTGGAGAATGAAGTAGATGTCTTTCCACCCCCATCTCCTTCTACCAAGAGATGTCTTCAAACCTGTAGAATTAAACTAAAAACAGGCACTACCAAGAAATACAGATGACTTCATGCTGTTTTAGTCTGTATGTTATCTGTGCTGTGCCTCAAGTGTGTGGACTGAATGAACTGCGAGCACAATTGTTTCAGGGTTGCACCACTCATGACTCAAACTTTGCTGCTTGCACGAGGTTGCTAACAATGATTAAAAAATTGTGTTTTATATTCAGTGACTCCCCTTGTATTTATGACATCACTGCTTGAACAATACATTTACATACCTGGCATTTTTAAGTATATTGCCAAGTTTCTCTTGAGATTATTCTTCTGAGATCTTAGACACCTAATATTTATTTTTAAGTCATTTGCAAGGCAAGAAGTGTCTTCCTTTTTTTTTTTATTGAATCAGTTCTACCACAGATTAAAACAGGCAAAAATTGCATCAAAAAATTAAAGTTTAGCATGGCACAGCACTTGCACCATTGGCCTGTGGGGTATAGTAGTTAAGGGATTAGACTTGGTGACACAGCTAAAGCATTACAGCTGGGTAGCAATCTGAATTTGAAGGAAGAAAGGGAATATGGAGCACTTGGATATACTCACATAGCACCTTAAAACAGGTTATATCTTTTCCTGCAGCAGCCTGGGAAAAGCCATATTTAACAAACATCTGCTGGTAGGTCTATGTTTGCCCAAATATGCTCCAAATCACCATTAAAATGCTAATCACTGCCCATCTATATTAAACACCCTTTTCCCATTTTTTGAAGGAAAGACAAAAGTTGTGCTCTTTTTTACCCTATCATGTTTGAATTGTGACGATTGTGTTTGAAACAAAAACATGTTGTTTGAACAGCTAAATGTTTTGAAAATATTGCAAATGGAATACAGCCTCTAATGATTAGATTACTTCCTTAGGGCAAATGGAGATCAGGAAGTACTAAGATAAATAAGTTTATGGCAAGCAGGTAATACAGTCAAATGTTAATACTGTAAGTATGAGTGACAGTGGCAAATGGCAGCTCTTCAGAATATACCCTCGATTGGTAGTCCCATATGTGTGCAAGCACACATGGAAAAAGCTCTAAGGTGACAGTGTAATAGACACATATCCTGTAATGCACAGCTTACTTTTAAACCTTTTAATAGGTTACCTGTCCTTGATAAGAGTATAGGAATGTTTGCAACAACAATCAGCACAGACGTAGGGCAAGGAGAGAGAGATAAACTCTGAAGTTTATTTTGGACCAAAGCCAAGTGCCAATATAAATTACTCTGCTTGCTTCAGCAAGTAAGTAAAATAAGATTATCAAGTATTTCTCTGGTTTGGGATAAATTAGTTTAGAAGAAATCAGGAAAAGTAGCAAATGTATCCAGCAAAAACTTGGCTTAAAGAGTGGCAGATAAATTATAAAAATAAGAGGCTAGATTCATTTTTTTAAATTGACGAGGTTCCTACTTCATGCTGACAGTTAAATTCTCTACAATATTGTTTGCATTCCCTATCCAATTAGCGTTATATTCCAGCCAAGAGAATTTTCGTTTTTGCTAAACCTCGGTACAGTACTTAAAAAAAAAAAAGAGCCTTTATAGCTAGAAGTAAATACTGGCACTATGTAAAGGAGACACTGAATCACAAAGTAGTCGAACCACATTTTTGTCCGTGTACTGTGCAAGCACAGCTTGTTTCACTAGCTTATGATTCAAGGTAATGTGAGCCTAAAACTGGGTTAATTGAAAAAACTATAGTTAAGAACCTTAGATCAGTGTGTGATGCAATGAGTTTCTTTACCCAGGTAGTCACGTTGAAGGAAAGATAAAAACTCTGTTCATCTGATTGTGTTTGAAACACAAATGTTTTTTGAATAGGTAAATATTTTGAAAATTTGTTGCGAAGGGAAATACTGCTATAATGATCACTTCCCATATGGCACTTCCATATGGGAAATACAGCCTATAATGATCACTTCCATATGGCAAAATAGTGTTATTTTCTTTACCGGATTATGTTTTATTGTGCAACTTGGAATAGCGTTACCTTCTCTGAATACCAATATGAAAAATGTTTATGTTATATTCATCGTTCTCCGGCGGGGTACAAGTATGTTTTTTTTTTCCTCTTGGGGACAGTTAGGATAAATCTCAGCATTTAAGACTTATCCATGCATCTCTAGCGATCAGGATTGTGAAATGACGTCATCGAAGCCGGCCCCTCCCCTCCCAGCAAAGAACGCTGGGAACGTTTCCGTGTTCCACATCGGTTTCATTTGCCGCATTCCTCGCCGCTTTAAAGCGCCGTCCAGCAGACGCATCTCTGCTGCGTCTTCTTCAATGTAAACTGGTTTTCCTCGGCGAGTAAAATGGACGGAGCGGCCGACGACTTCAGCCATGCGCACCACCGCCGGCGTTGATTTCCATCCCCTTGGCTAAGAGTTTCAGTTGCTGGGGCACTCCCCTGCCCAATCCGGGGCCGTCTTATTTGCAGCCTATGATCAGAGAGATTGGAGCGGCTGCGGGTGAATAGGTGTGGATTTCTTTTTCGACTTCCTGTCATACTTTCTCTTGCTCTTACGTTGCATCATTTCTAGCCGGTCGGTTGCTGCAGCTGCTGGGCCTACGGGCAGGTGAGGAGAGTGGTGTCTACTGGAGGAGCATTTGGGGAACTGGAGAGGGGGAGGGAGGGACGGACGGAGGTTGTCTTTTTCATTATTTGTATCGTCTGTTAAGTGAGTCAGACGGCTCTTGTCGCAGTGTAGGGTGAAAGCTGTGCTGGTGGGGATTGTACTATGGGCGCTGTCCGAGTTTCTAGAGGAATTCTAGTGCTCTTTCATACAGTTGAAGAAAGGTTGACATTTCATTCATTATTGGGAATCCAAACTTGGATCAACTCCTAACTCTGTAGTAATGCTGATTGGAAATTATGGGAATTAAATTTTGATACATCAGATTGGGCAAAAGCACTGCAAGTGTTAATAGATACACACACGCTGACACACACACACAGAGTGTGAGTTCTAGGTTACTAGTATTAAGCTGACGTGCAGTGATCCATACATTTTGTCTTGTTTAGTAGACAGACACTATTTGCAGTCACTGCTGGTTGGTCCCCTAACCTGAATCTTCTGGTGTGTATAGAAAACCTGGAGGAGAGATGATTATTTTCTTACAGCAAGCTTTGGAGCAAGAAGAATCTGTGGAAATATGCTACTATGAAAACCAAATTTTTGCTACTATGAAAATCAAATTGTGCATGCCAAAGGGCTTGAAAGTAGTTGGTCTTTTGCACCCAAAGATCTTTGTCCCCAGAGTTTATGGGGGATTCATGTGGAACAGGATTGGGGAGAAAGATCACTGCTTTCAATGAATATTAAGCAGTGCACAAGGCAGTTAAGAATAAAATACAAGTTGACTTCTAGATTAGATATCTTAATCAAACCCTTAACTTTGGTAATTACAGATTGATCAAAATAGCAATTGAGGTACCATAATGTGTTTTTCCTTTGGTTTTTATTGCCCCATCATATGTGTTTTCTTACTGAACAAACTAGTTCTTACAGTTGTGAAAGCTGTATATGTGTGTAGTGTTATGTACAGTTTGTATGTTGGAGGAGTTCCCAGAGTCTGGGAAAGAGAATGGCAGTATATAAAATATTACATCTGCAGAATATCTGCATATTCTTCCTTTTTCAGGAAAATGGATAGCTACCTCCTCACTACATCAATGGGTAGTTAGCAAAAGATCAAAAAAGCTCCACCCTAACAAATTAAGAGATAAATTGAATACTAAAGTAATCATCCAGTTGCCATGATTTCTGTCATGTAATTCTTTCTCCCTTTCCAAATATCAAGAATCTTCTTTTTGGTTGTGAGTTACTACTAAGGTCTTACAAAAATGTATTTATCAAATTTATATTTATATTTACCTCTACATTGAACTGATTCTGTGTGTGTGTGTGTGTGTTAGTTAAACTATGTGCCCTGTGGTTCCTGAAAGCTGTTGTCTCAATACAGTGTTTCAGTTGATAGAAATGGGCCAAAAATAATACTCTGGCATATGCATGGAGCCTGATATTTTAGCAGCCTCCATAGCCCGGTCATTGTTACATTGCATTACTGTTACAGGTGCAATTCTTTACTGTGGCAAGAACAGTGCTTGAAGAATCATTTAGAGTTGTGCCTGTGTGTGTTTGGTTTTTCCCTTTCTTTTTTCAGGAAAGGAAAAAAAAATCCTATCAATAAGCAACATGGGGATATTTGAGATCAAACCAGTATATCTAAAACCTATAATGAAGGGCTACTGTGGGAAGAATGGCTGCATCATGTTTGCTTTGGTGTGCAGTGCTAAAGCCATTGCAAATGTGCAGGTGTGCTTTGGTATGCCAAATGGTTGCATCTGCTTGGTCTTTCTCCTTCCGATGGTGATAGATAAATAAAACAGGAAATTTTCATTGCTGGTTTGTGGTATGTTTAGCATTAAACCTGAATCCCTGGCTTATTTGTTTTGTAAGGAGATGGAATATGAAGTCAGCCTTTGGCCTTTGCTTCCAATTTCAGGCATGTTTGAAAGCGACAGGTCTGGAATCTTAGTTTGCATGAAATATTTAAAAAATAAGTGCTTAAGATTTCCTGATTTTATTTAGTGCTGAAATGTATAGCTGGCACCTGGACTTGTTTTTACTGTAAGGGGCCACGATGTAAAAGTGGATGGGCCTAGCTAATTTTTAGCACAAGCTGTGGTGCCAAATAGCTGGAGAACAGTCTGAGTACTCATGTGGGGGAAGCTATGGCAGTTTTATTTGGCCATATATGCTGTTATTTGAACGTGTTGGTGCTAAACGGTGGCAAATCACATCAGCATGGAGCTCCAGAACTGTATAGAATCATTAGGTGGGCTGATTGTGACTTGCGTTCCTACTGACTAGACAAGCCAAGTTGGAGTGTTTATGAAGCATGTGCCGGTATACTTGTTCATTCTGATTAGACAAGCCAAGTTGGAGTGATTATGTAGCATGTGCCAGTATACTTGTTCATTCATATTAAGTCCAGATTCTGAATGGAATGGTGCACATTTACAATTCTGGCTTTGTATTACATGCAGATAGATTGCCAGCAGAGTCTTTGTAACAGATATCTAGCGTTGTTGTCTCAAGTACCCAAGCTTTTTTGCTTATAATATTTAATCAGAAAGCTATTAACTGCTAGCTGTATGTTAGCTCATTTTCCCCACTTTGGGAATTGCAGTCCTAAACACTAAGGAGAAGGATAATAGACGGAATAGTCAGTAATTAATTCTAGATATGGTAGGACTTATTTCTGACTAGACATAGAGGTGTACTTTAGTACTCTTGGGATACTACAGCTGTGGTACAGTAATTTGAAATACACTTCTGAATTATTGCCAAATTACTTGCTGACATGCAGCAATCTGAGACATCTTAACTTTTTGAGTATTGCTTTGTTTTGTATAGGAAGACGATGATTCAGCAAGTCGCAGAGAACATTAACTTTCCAGAAGAAGAAGAGAAGATACTGCAGCTTTGGAACACACTTAATTGTTTCCAAGAATGTCTCAAACAGTCCAAAAATAGACCTAGGTAAGATAGTACATCTCTAAGATTTCCATAATTCCTATAAGTAGATAACAGCCGATATCTTTACTCATAAGTCTTTTCTTTTGAAGGTTGACATCTGAGTTTGTGTGATACAACAGCTCAAATATAATTTTTTGGCTCTCAAATTAAAAATCTAAATGCTTCTTTGAAATAACAATCAGAAGGCTGAAGTGCAATATGTTAAAATATTTCTATATTTTTCATATGCAAGAAAGATGTGTGCTTCTAAATATGTGCTATGCATTTCTTTTCTGTGTCATAGGTTTACCTTCTACGATGGACCTCCATTTGCCACAGGGCTTCCGCATTATGGTCACATACTTGCAGGAACCATTAAAGACATAGTAACTAGATTTGCTCATCAGAGTGGGTTTCATGTCGACAGAAGATTTGGTTGGGATTGCCATGGTTTGCCTGTGGTATGTTTAATTAATTAATTAATTTATTAAATTTATCTCCCCCTAATGGAGGACTCTGGGTAGCTTACAACTCATTAAAACAATAAATAAAAATACAATTACATAAAACCTAAAAGCTTTATAAAACAATTACTAAAGAAGAAAAAGTCCAGGAGGCTGATGGTTCAGAGCAGCAAACGCTAGGGCTCTAAGGGGCTAGCCAACCCCACACCTGATGTCTTCCTTCCTTCCTTAATATCTTCCTTTGTGTCTATATATTATTGTTTTGGTGATTAGCTGTCTACTGATTCCAGCTTTGCAAATACACCGATGGAGATCACTGATTTGAATTGTTTTAATCACAAAAAGGACAATTTTTAATTGTTTTGATGCCAGTTCAATTTCTGTAAAAATAGCAATGGCAATCCTGCAAACTGGATCCAGTTCGATCAGAGTCTGAGTTCCTTATTCAGTTTATTATTTGATAGGTTGGAAAAAATAAATCTTTTAAAGGACTTCTTTGAATTTGTTTACAATTAGTGCTTCAATTTATGTCTCAAAAAAATAACTTATTTTTATATTATTATTAAAAGTTTTAATTTCAATAGTAAAAGATAATGCAAACTAAAGAAAAGAAAAAGGTGCAAAAAAAGAAAAAGAAAAAAAAACCCTAAGAAAGCAACTTTCCAATCTCATTACAAGGATAAACAATTTCACAATCTCTTCACCTCTTATCTAATAGATATAAAAGTCTTCATCCCATAACTCATCTCTTGACTATAAGCAAATCCAATAAGTAACGTCTTCTCCAATCCAGGTGTCAGTAAAAAGTCCAAACAGAGCCCTAAAATAGTAACATTGATTAACATATATAAAGCTCAACATTCCACATCTCAACTCTTAGCTGTAAGCAAGTCCACATTAGAAGGCATAAAGTGCTCCCGGTATCCAAACGTAATCAAAAGACTAACGTTTAACATGACAACAGGAAATTGTTCCAATTGCTCTCTTGGATTGTCATTTTTACTTCCTTCTTAATTTTTAAAGCTTCATCCATTTTTTTTTTTTTTTATGTCTGGTGACAAATTCTTATTCGTGTTGATCTCGTGGTAGTTCGTTGCATATATTTTTCTATAACATCCACTTCTGGGAACAGACTGTTCCCAAGAAGATACAACATAGCTGACATTGATTCAAGTTCCTGATGCAGTTCCTCAAAAATATCTCTGAACGCCATTATAAGTTACTTGTCTTGCTATGTCTCCAATGTCAAAAACAGTTTTTCTTTTCCACAAAAATAAATTTATTCTTTAAAATTAATTTCAAAGTCTTAATATTCAAAATCCAGTATTCCAACATTTTCTGAGCCTTTAATCTGTTTAAAAGTTTCTATAGCCCAAATCTTGTCTTGCTTTTTGCTGTTTATTTTAAATTCTTAAAGATTATAAAGATACATCTTCATTTTCTTATATTAAGGATTGAAGGCACTCACTTGGTGTTTCCAGCTTGCTTCCAGTCATTTTGAAGGTTTCTAACTTCTTTAAAGCAGTTAATAGGCAATTTCTGAAAGTGGTTAGCAAGGGAAGTGCGAACTTAGTGTACTTTGAAAAGGCTTTGTTTGCAGCTGGAGCAATTCCCTTGGCTCCTGGTTCTCCCACCCTCCAGAAAGTGCTGCTTTGCAGTCTCTCATGAGAAACAATTGTATGGAGCATAGCTTGGGTGATCTTGTGTCCTCTCTTTGTCCAGAGAGGGTCAGAGGGACTGATATGCTCATTGGCTCCCTATTCTTGGCTGCAAATGTTTTTGCAGAGCTGACTTCAGTTTGCCATTCTTCCCCGGAAGCCCTCAAATAAAAAATAACTTCTGAAGGATCAGTGACATCCAATGCTTTGTAACTGAGCTTTTATTACCTTAGTATTACTTTCCTTTGCTCTCCTCCCTACTATGCCCACCCCTTACTATCTGCTCTTGAGACTTTACCAACTTTCTGACTATATTTGGGGTATACTGTGGGGGTTGACCAGAACTTCAGGGATCGGTCATAAGTACCACTTATTCAGCGCTGTTGTAACTTCAAACAGTCGCTGAACGAGTGGTCCTTAACTGGGGACTACCTGTCTTCTAGCTCCCCCGTCTTAACTTAAGAGCCAGGGTGTTCCTGGAACAGGAGGCACTCATTTCCTTGTCGTCTCTTGATTGGATTACTGTAATTCAGTTTACATGAGACTGCCTTTGAAGACCACTCAGAAACTTCAGCTGATGCAGAATGGGGCTGCCCATCTGATACTGAGTCAGATCTGTTATTGCCATATTGCATCTCTTTTACAGGAATTGCATTGGTTAATAGTTTGCTTCTTAGCCTACATACTCCAGTTAGGGTTGTTATGAATAAAACACTGTATGGCTTGGGACCTGAATATCTTCAAGTCTGCCTATTCCAGATAGAATTTGCCACCTGATACATACAGAGAATGGCTTCTGGTTACCTCTTTTTGGGACATCTGATGAGAGGGTACCCAGAAGCAGGCTCCCTTTGTAGGAAGACCTTCTCTCATTCTGGAAGGCCTCTGAAGATTCAGTGGAATGACTGCTATGTGAATAAGATACTGCATGTTGAATGTTGTATTGTGGGTTGATGTACCATTACATCTATGGTACTAGGTTGATTTTTTTAGTGTTACAGTATATTGTTTTAGCATTATATACTGCAATATATTACAGTATATTGTTGACCATATGCAACTTTAGAATTAATCAGATTGAAGCAATATAAAAATCTTTGTTAATAAATGAAGTACAAAATATTTTTGAAGGATCATATTTAATAATCTGGAAACTGTTAATATATAAACACCCATTTCAGGACATTGTTGGTTAGTCTTTTATAAAAGCTGTGTACCATGTGGCCTGTGTGTTTATGGTTTGTTTTTGCAAAATGTAGTAAAAACTTTCTGTTTATACTTACTGAGTTATGCTCTCTGTCTGTCTGTCTATCAGATTTATATCTTGTCTTTCATTCAAGAAGTCATGTTTTTGGTTTCCTTAGGAGTATGAAATTGACAAAGCACTAGGCATCAGAGGACCAGAAGATGTTGCAAAAATGGGGATTGCAGAATATAATAGCAACTGTCGAGGAATTGTTATGAGATATTCCCAAGAATGGAAAGTAAGTAAAATATATTGTGGTTTTGTGATACAGGCTTATTTTGTTCTTTATCACATTTTTAGGTGCTTATTAGCTGATTCAAAAAAGTTATTTTAGGCATGGTTGAAGATTGTTGGGTTATTAATGTTAAATAGGAGACCAATTGCTTTTGTAGTGCTACTTGCTTTCAAAAGTGGCTAACCATAAGTTGCTGAATTGTAAAATATTTGCACACACACACATACACTCACATAAACCAAACCCCCCTGGATGCATAGAATTAGCCAGTTGTTAAAAATCCACGTTCATTTTCAATGAGTTGTGATTGTTGTGTATTAATTATTATGGCATCAGAATACCATTTGTAATAGTTTCAGTGGGATAGGAGCACTGGGCACCTTTCTGCTCCTCTCTCAAGAATTATGCTGCAGTGTAACATGGTTCTGCAAACTCTGCATATCTTGTGGAATTTATTTTTGTACATTTCAAAACAAAGTTGGTTCCTGAAAATATTTTTATTTTGCCACCAAAGAAAATTGGTTCCCGCATTTTCTCTTTAACAGAAACAAAAAAAGTAATTAATCATGCTATGTCCGTTGAGCTATGATTTGTGTTACATTTAATGTCTCTTCAGGTCAGTGTTACAAGACTGGGACGGTGGATTGATTTTGACAATGATTATAAAACTCTTTATCCAGAATTCATGGAGTCTGTCTGGTGAGTATCCTTTGATATATTGAACTGTTTATTGTGGTGTTTATGTGTCTCTTAAAGCCAAATTCCTCCATCAGCCATGTTCTGGGACCTGTTGCTTGATGGCTTCTCCTTTAAGGGGAGTAGGATTAGCAGCAACAGTCCTGTGAATCCAGATAATTGGGCAATAATAGGAGGAGAGGTTGTTTTCCCTAAACCTTGTTTACATATTTCTCAGAAGTGGCATAGTGGGAAATGGGAGGTCTTTTGTCTCATCCAGCAGGACTGTTCTTATGTATTTCTTGTGCACAAAGACCAATAGACTATTCTTCCTATTTTTTAAGTCTAAAAAGCAATTACATAATACACAGGTAAGGAAATTGGTATAACTGCTGTGATAATAAATAAAAATTATGGATATCAATTAGAATGGCATAATCAGCAGCCTTGTCTTTTGCCATTGGGAGAAAATTGGATATATGCAGTGCCTTTTTACTAATGAAATGTTTTATACATCCCTACTTTTTAAGACTGAGATGCCTGGGGACAGAATGGTCATTATGAGCCACCTGCCACCATTCTTATTATTGCATCTTATGTTAATACAATTCTCTCTCTCTCTCTGTCTCTGTCTATTGACTTCAATGACCCAGTGAGAAAGTTATTTCCCATATTATTTTAGTAATCTTTGAACATATATACTTTATGGTAGGTTAAGTTTTATACAGATCTTCCAAGTACTGATGCTAATGCTGGGAGCTTTTGGTACTACTTGGCTTTTTCACATTGTACAACCAACCAGAAATGGGAAATAAAGGTATAGGATGGCTGAATGAGCAACCTTTAAGTGGCAGCTGTGTTGGAATGTTTGTTTCATGTCCTTTAGCCAGAAAGCTTCTCAGAGTATTTCTGTAAAATAGCATGACACAGAAGAAAAAAGGATGGGAAGGTAGAAAATGTAGGCATCCTTTTTTGATTTTAATTATATAGTTCTTGTAAGGAATAGCTGTGATGGAAAGAGAGGGCTTATTCCAAAGCAATTCTTGGCCAGCCTCCAAAAAATAGCCTAGTGACCAATCCCGGAATGACTGCAGTGGATTTGAAAGTAGTGGGTCTCCCAGATTTTTTGTGTTTGATCTTGTGATGGATTTCTTTTTAGAATTGGTTGTAAGATGATTTGAGCATGTCATAAAAGGAAATGCAAATAAAAGTATTCAGTGTAAGGCTAACATTTAACGGTTGAATGATAGGAAATATATTGAAATCTTGAAATGTGCCCCAAATTTTGGAAAGGATTAGTAGTAGTAGAAGTGTTGTGTGCTTTTGTTAACCATTTGAAAAAGATACTGCATGCTTTCTCGCACCAACTGAATGAAATAGTGTCATTTGATATTTAAATTTGTGAAGTACTTAAACAGAATGCTGGTTGAATTTTGACATAATAAGAGGACTGTGTAAAAACTATGTAAAAACCCAGATGATGTAGTAAGCAACTCTTGTCATTAGAGGATAATGCAACAGTGTGAAAATTGAGTAGAAAAATGTCTGATGAATTTGAATATTAGCTTGATGGTTTGTCAGACTCTGAATTAAATTAATTCATCATTAACCTTCTGTAGTTAAACTTGTGTGCCTCTCCTATGACTGAGAGGTCAAACTCAGCTTCCTGGAAGAAGGTAGTGGCAGAAATTCCAGATTGTTGCTAAGATAACTACACAGACAGGAGCACTGTGCTTGTGCTTAAATATCTGCTGCTATCAGCTGATGAAACTACTTTTAAACTGGAGGAACATGGAAAAGCTGATGTATAACGTGGTTGTTTTTGTTTAGTTACTTCTGACTCTTTTGCCAGGATTGTCTGTCAGTAGCTGCTTCTTTGAGTTCTTGCAGGTTTATAGTTGTGTCATCACTGATAGTATCTAGCCAGCATTGGATGTTAGCATTGTGATCTCTGGTGCTTCTGGCTCTTCTGAATTCAGATGGTACATCTGATTGTTGTTGTTGTTTAGTCGTTAAGTCGTGTCCGACTCTTCGTGACCCCATGAACCATATTGCGCCAGGCCTTCCTGTCCTTCACTGCCTCCCTGAGTTTGCTCAGTTTCATGCTCATTGCT